ATGAGTCGAGGAATAACGATTCTTCTTTGTAAACTAAATATTAGATATATTCAGTAATAACGCAATTTCATGTAAGTAAAAATAAGTTGTAAATGAATTGATCAGATCAGACTGATATTGAAAACCTGAAGTGTTTCTCTGGAAATGAAATTAGATGCCTTATTCAACTTTTTATTGATAAAGTGAGAGAAATTATAAAGGGTATCAAAAAATGACAAATATATGTAATTATAAAATACAAAAATGTGAATTTATTTATCCATTTTCTATGCAAATGTTGAGATAATTTCAAAAATTTTGAAAAATTCTTTGAATTTATTGATAATTTATAGAATAAATAGAATATTTGTATATTATATGTGATTTTTGATGATTTAATATTTTCCAAAAATAATTCAAATTTTGAAAAATCAATAATTATTCAAAAAATTGATTGTTTATTTTTCAAATTTCAAATTTTTTTGGAAGAAATTAGAGTCCTCACTTAAGTCAAAATGAAATAATATAAGGAATGTATTCTATTTTGACATTCATTTTACAATTTATATTGATATTCAAAAATTAATTGTAATTCCAAGTTTTATCCTATGGAATGCACAATAATATTCTTGGATAGTTAAAGCCTCATAGTAGAACAACTTCATCAATATGCTTGGTCAAATTAGTTTTCTTATTAGGTCAATTCTTTTGAATCTCAAAAAGAGAGCATGATATTTTATATTAAGAGTATAAATATGCCCTATCAGATACATCCAGATGACATTAACCTCATACCCTCAATTTTTGACTTTTGCAACTTTTTTATGACCCCTACCCAGGTATCTAAAATACCATTTATCGCCTGAAAAGCACCCTTAATTTATGCCAATTGACAAAATAAAGATATGTTTAGAATGCTGATATGATGGAGAATCATTCTGCATCATTATTGGCCAGCAATATATAATATTTAAGAAATCTACGAGATTATCTGATTTCATGAAACTCAATGTATACTAAGTTTCAGACTTTGAAATTTTAACATGTTGATATGGGTACATAGGGTTTATGATTCCAGTCATTTATTTAAAAAATTACAAAAATGAATTAATATGATGTGAGTAACAATGGTAATAAACGCTTAATTACTAATATATTATTTCTTGGTAGGAATGAAATGTTTTGGTGACATTTATAGAAGTTAAGCTGAGAATCAAAAATGCAAAAATTATTTTAAATATTACAAGCATTATTTGATGTCATTGAGTTTAGAGTCGTGTAGATATATGAGTACAATATGTTATTGATGTATATATGCAATAATTGTGAAAATG